AGTGGCACAGTGACTATGGTGCTGAGCCTGGAATCAGGAAGACTTGAACTGAAATCCAGCCTCAGACACTTACTATTTTAAGTACTGTGTGACCCTGGACAAATCATTTAACTTCTGTTTGTTTTAGTTTCTTCATCGGTTAAATGGGAATCGTAATAGGATCAAATGAGATAATCTTTGTAAAGCATTTAACATAGTGTTTGACACATAGTAGGTACTCTATAAATGCTAGCTACTATTATTATCAGGGCAGCTAGGTGGCACAGCGGATAGAGTGCAGGGCCTGGAGTCAAGAAGACTCATCCTTATGAGTTTAAATTTGGCCTCAGACACTTACTAGCTGTGTGATCCTGGGCAAGTCACCTCTGTCTGTCCCAGTTTCCTCATCTGTAAAATGAACTAGAGAAGGAAATGGCAAACCCCTCTAGTATCTTTGCTCAGAAAACCCCAGATGGGTCATGAAGAGTCAGACATGACTGAAAAATAATTGAATGAAATTATTATTAACGACAGCCAACCAGAAGATTCACCAACACATAACACTATCTTCACTATCCCTCACCCATCTCCTCCCCATTCACTCACTGTTAGACAGACTCATAAAGCCTTGACACTGGGTTGGATTGCAAGCAGGCTGGAAAATAGCTGTATATATATATATATGCGCATGTGTGTGTGTATATATGTGTGTGTGTGTGTGTGTATAGATATAGATATAGATATAGATATAGATGTAGATATAGATATAGATATAGATATAGATATAGATATAGATATAGATATAGATATAGATGTAGATATAGATATAGATATAGATATAGATATAGATATAGATATAGATATAGATATAGATGTATATATAAAATCTGGGAATCCTGTATAGAGATGATAATTGAATCCATGGGAGCTGATGAGGTCCCTTGATAGAGAGTTAGGGGGTACCCACAGTTGGTGGGTGTGGCATAGACTAAGAATCAGCAAGGGAGACAATAAGTGGTTGGACAGATAGGAGCATGTCACAAAAACCTAGAGGGCAAAGAGTATTTAGATGAGCAATAGTATTAAATGCCACAAAGAATCCAAGTTTGACCAGATCATTCCCCTGCTCAGAAAGTTTCCTCAGCTCCCTATTTCCTCTAGGATACAATTCTCAGCTGGACATTTAAAGTGTTCTACATCCTGGCTCCTACCCACCTTTCCAGACTGCTTCTATACTCTTTTCCTTTCTACACAGGAGGCTAGTTGGTGAAAAAGCATGGAAGTGAGAGATAGAGTCTTGTAGGTAAGGAACAGCATGAAGGCCAGTGTTTCTGGACCGTAAAGCACTTGGAAAGACTAAAATCAGTGAGCTGAGACCTGAACTCAAGTCCCCTGACACAAGGTCAGGTGTTCTTTCATGTACAATTTGCTTGTATTTCAGGCTATCAAAACTCATGGGTTTACTGCTCCTCAAATTCAGCATTCTATCCCAATTCTTTCTTTTTTATCTATCTATGCCCAGAATGCACTCCCTTCTGATCTTTACATTCTCTGCATCCTAGAATCCCAAATTTCCATCTCAGACTTTTTTTTTTTTACTGGACCTGTGATTTCTTCAGGGTAGGGATCACCAGTGATTCAGATGCACTTAATTTGTAACCCATTGTCTTAGAGACCTGCTCAGGGTCAGACCACTAGTATGTGTCAGAGACAGGATCTACCTGATTTTAAAGCTAGTTCTCTATCTGCTACACCTGACTCCTTTTCCCTAGCCTTGAAGCTTCATCTCTCTTGCTATCTTCCATAGAAAGCCTTTTATGACACTGCCCCACCCCCAGTTTTGCTCTCAAATAATCAGGAATTACCTATAGTCCCCCATATATCCTCCAATAGACTGTAAGCTTCTTGAAATCAGGGGCTCTATTTTGGTTTTGTCTTTGTAAGCCTAGCACCCAGCAATGTACCTTGAACACTGAAGTCCCTTAATAAATTTTGTTGGCTAAGATTGCATGTTCTCCAGGTTCCATTGTTCAAATATCTTTAATTCCCCCTTTGCTCTCCCTCACCTTCCACATCTTCATCAAGTGCTGTTCATCTTCACATCTTTTCCCACATCCATTGCTTTCCTTCCATTCATTGCCACCACCCACAGACTCTAATCATCTGTTTAACGGGAAAAAAAACCCCTTCTAACTGGTTTCTCTGACTCCATTTGCTACAGGCCACTCTGCACAAAGTGTCAGAATAGTGTTTCTAAAGCCTAACTCTGATAATGTAACTTCCACACTCAAAATTCTTTAGAGTTTTCTCTATTGTTTCTAGGATAAAATTTGTCCAGAAAGGCTCACAGATTTCCATCTTTGGGAATGGAGGAGTGGGAGTCTTTTGAAATCTTCTGTAGGGTTTTTTTTTTTGCAATAGGATTTTAATACAAAATGGAACAGCTAAATTTAACTATTTAAGCTGACTTAGCTAGCAAATAGGACTTTGGGGGAACACCTGATAAACATGGTAACATGCTCAAGGAGTGACAGGGTTTTCATAGAGATTATTTGTAGATTTTTAACTACTCATCAGAAAAAAAGGCCTTTAAACAGAGCTTGTGGGAAGTTAGGCTTCTTCTAGGTTATTGAGCTTTCCTCATATTTTCTGATGAGGTAATCAATCAATAAGAATTTATTGAGCCCTTTCTGGTGCCAGGTGTTAGGCTAGGTATTGAGGTTACAATGTTAAAATGAAACATTTTCAGGATGCTTTCATTCTATCCAAGAAGACAACAGTTACATTTCCTCCTATACACAAAATAAATACAATATAAATTTTTTGAGGGAGTTAAGACCCTAGCAGCTTAAAGGTTCAGGAAAGATGTAGGTTTTAGTCTAGCACCTGCCACTAATTGCTGTATAATATTGGGCAAATCATTTTACCTTTTTAAGCCTCAGTTTCTTTATCTTTAAAATGAAGGGGTTAGAATAGATGATCTCCAAGGTCATAGGATCAAAGATGGAAGGGACCTTTTAAGGTAATTTTATAGGCAGTAAGTAGAAGATGCAGGATTTGAACTCGAGTCTTTTGGACCTATATCTATCATATTCTCTCCACTGTGCTATGCCGCCCCCTTTCAGGGCTCATATTCTATGATCACTATCAGAGCTCATATTTCTTAATGCTTAAGTTTTACAAATGTCTCCTCACAATGACTCTGTATGGTCAACAGTGAAAGTATTATCCCCATCTTACCGATGAAGAAACAGAGGATGGGGTTGATTTGCCTGCAGTAAAACAGCTAGTTCAAGTCAGAGCCAGGATTAGAACTGAGGGGTCTTGACTACACGTCCTAGTCTTCCTCACCTTCACAAACTTCAGCCAGAGAGAGTGAATTTCTCCTCTCCTTGTACTTTCGTCTCTGGCGGGGCTGCCTCCCTGCACCTGTAACCTTAGAAGGCCTGGCACTAGAATTGGCCTCCACCTGTCTGTCCTCTTAGCAGGGACTTTTCCTTGACACAGGCGATGCACCACTCCCTCATTCCCGCCAGGTGGCGCAGCGAATGCTAGCTACTACGGCTACCCCGGGGCTCTATCCAGGTGGACTGACTTTGTCCTGTCCCAGCCCAACTCTCCTGTCCCAAACCCGGTCTCGCAGCCTATCCCCTCTTCAGATGTCCAGGGGTCCAAATCCAGCCTGGCTCCAAGAGTGGTCGGTGCAGAACTGGCCATGGCATTCTACTTAGCAGGGAACCCTCCTCAGGCGAATGGGGAAGCCCCAACCCCTGTTTTGTAGAGCGTTGCCTCCCTATCCTGGACGATGCGTGGAGCCAGGGTCCTCCATCCATGGCTACAGGCTAGTCCCGAAGCACAGCGAACATGCAGGGCTGTGGTTGGTGTGTATGAGTGTGGGGGAGGAGTATGGTTACTGATTTATTTTTTAGTTTTTTAAAAAAAATATTATTTCCTTTTTTAGGAATAACACCAGGAGCGGAGTTCTGATTCCGGGCCCCACCCCCGTTATCACGGCAGTTCCCTCCCCGGCCCCCTGCGGGGCCACGAGCCTCAGGGCGGGGGCGGATAAAAGGCCGGGTGCGGCCGGGATGCTGGGCACAGTCCCCCAGGAACGAGCGCCAGATCGGTGTAGTGCTCTCAGTGCCAAAGACGACGACTTTGGGCCGGCCGAGGCCAGGGTTGCTGATGCCACCTCCCGGTTCGGGCTAGCAGCTGGGCTGGTGCGCTCTCACACCTAGTCCGGGGCCACAGGGCTCTCCAGTTTGGAGGGAGGGGACAGTAGGGGAGATAGCGAGTCAGTGAGTCTCAGGGAGCAGCCCGGGCGCGTCTGCGTGGCTACCTGGGCTCCAGACCCCAGCTCAGCGTCCAAAGCCCAGCCCCCTGTGCCAGGTGAGGTCCCCTCCAGCCCTGCATTGACAGCTGGGGCCGGCGTGCACCTGGGCGGACCTGGGGGCTCCACCACAGGGCTCCTGGAGCAGGAGTAGCTTGGGATTAGGGCAGAAATCTCTGGCCTCCTAGGACCCTCAGGACCCTGGCTGGTTCCCGACCAAGAGGGAGAGGTGGGGAAAGCCCGGGGAGCGAAGCGGGAGGTGCTGCAGTTCTCTGTGAAGAGGTAGCTCCCGGGCGCAGCGCGGATTGAGCCGGGGTGTTTGGTTTGCGCCGCCAGGCTAGAGGAGTGCGCGAGCTTGCGCGCGCGCGCGGGAAGATTGTATCCCCCTTCTCCTGGTCCCCCCCCACCAGCTTTCCCTCTTCCCTCCCCTACGCGAGGCCAGGACCCCTTGGTTGCTCTCGGCTGGGAAGGGGAGCCCAGAAAGCTACGGGATCGGAAGGAGGACCGTACGGCCCCGGCAGGTGATAGCGAGCGAGTTCTCACGCCCCCTCCTCCTACCCTCCACACAGACACACACGCGCGTACACACACACACGCACACATACAGCCCTCCTCCTCTCCCGGCCCCCACCGTCTCTCCCCCACTCCCGCCCCCTTCTTCTTTTTTTTTTAAGCAGCACCCTACCCCCACCCCCCCCACCTTCCCGGAGAACACGCCCCGAGTATTTGGAGGAGAAGAGGCAGATAGTAGCAGTAGCATTGAACCTGAGGGGCTCCGGCTGTGCGCAGACCTGCCGCTCGCGGAGCGACGGGCGACAGACAAGGCGAGAAAGCCGGAATAAAAGAAAAGGAGAGTGAGGGGTGGGGGTAGCGACGGAGAGGCTGGGAGAAGGAGGGAGCCAGGGAGACAGACATCGAGAACCCGGGAGATCAGACAGACGCGCACGCATACACACACACACACACACACACACACACACACACACACACACGCGGACCCTTAGCCAGCGAGCGCGGGAGAGAAGGCCAGTCTAGAGCCAGACGGACCGACGCCCCGAGACGACCCCCTGACCCCAGCCCCCCCGCACCCCGGAGACCCCAGGGCGGGATATGGTGATTGTCTCCACTGCCTCTCGGGATTTACAAAGACAGCTCCGCCTGCTCAGGGCTCCTGCTCCAGCTTCTGCCCCTAGCCCCCGGGGCCCCGTCCCTCGAGTCACCAGGGGGGGCTCAGCCCCGTGGGGGGCGACCCTGGCCCGAGACTGAGCCCCAAACCCCAGCCCCCTCCCTACCTAGTGCATGTGGAACTGAGCGCCGCCGGCCAGCGGGGAATATGAACCGGAAAGTAAGGCGCTGGATCTGCCCCATCTTCTTGAGCCTGGGCATCGTCTACATCAAAATTGGGTAAGGCACTTTGGAGGGCTGGGCAGGGCTGGAATGGGCGGGGGTGCACGGTCCAGGACGGGCCCCGAGAGCGTGGGGATCCCAGCAATCAGGCTCCCTAAGGAGCTCTTTGTCCCTTCTCCAGCCCGCGCCAGCTCCTGCCTCCGTCGGAAAGTTTGCGGTGCAGACAAGGAAAGGGAGGTTGCGATAGGTAGACCTGGGGGCGGCAAACTTCCCTCTCCAGGACTCTGGGCATTGGAGCTTGGAGCCTGGAGCGATGGTGAAGAGAGCGGAGAACCAGACAGGAGAGGCGTAGGGATGGAGATCAACGCGCGCTCACGTCACCAGATCCACCTAGACCCACAGATACAGAGACACATGCACACACAGACACGCAGGGAGACAATCAGATACAAAGCGAGACCCAGAGTCCCCGGACACCCAGAGACACAGACATCCAGAGTCATTGACTCAGTCACATAAGGTACCCAGAGGACACTCGCACTCTAGCCAGCCAGCCACTGTTCACACACGGTTCAAACTCACCCTCACAGGTAGTCACGCATACATATCTCTCTCTCTCTCTCTCTCTCTCTCTCTCTTTCTCTCTCTCTCTCTCTCTCTCTCTCTCTCTCTCTCTCTCTCTCTCTCTCTCTCTCTCTCTCACACACACACACACACACACACACACACACACACACACACACACACACACACACTCACACACACACTCACTCGCACGCTTATATCAGACAGATGCCTACTCCAATCCTACACAGTTCGGAACCACCGCCTCCTCGAAGTCTCTGATCGATTCATGGTCTAGCTAGCTATCCTCATTCCTAGGCAGCCCACTTTTCTATCTGCCTGGAAGAGGCAGACCCCAGGATCTGGGCGGGTGGGTGGGGTGCAGCAGTCAGACCTGGGGAGTGGGGGGAAAGGTCCTCACTAGCCCTCTATCTTCTGCCCTCGGGGCGCCCCCTTTATTGCACAGCGTATAAGTCTTCCCCCACCTCCCCAGCACCCACCACCCACGAACCAGAGACTTTCCAAACTAACCTTTCAGCCCCTGTGGGACCCCAGGACGCTGAGCAGGTGCTGTTCTGGGCTCGCTGGCTTCCAGCTGAGCACATTCCCCCTACTGCTCACTCTTCTTCCCTCATTCCCCTCCTCCCCCCCAGCACAGACCCCAGGCAGTGCAGCGCAGCTGGGGTGGGGGCAGGGGTAGCCAGCAGGCTAGGCCGCTGCCGTTTGTTTTTCCGATTCTTTTTAAAAAATAACTTTATTGATTTATTTTTCCGCTCCCCCTTTACTCCCCCCACCCCCTATCTCCAGTTTCTCCTTCACACATGCCGGCCTATCGTCCTCATTTAGCAATCAGGAAGCAGGGGGCAGTTTGAGGAATGGCCCACTAGCTCTTTATCTTTTAATTTGAAATGGAGGTTAAAAACAATCTCCCACCCTGCACTCATTGAACCTACTGCTTTCTTTCTGAGGTCAGGGAAAAGGTGCTATCAGACTCTGACCCAAACGTCCTGGCCACTGGAACCTCAGGTTGTACCCTGCTCAAGGGGCAGAGAATTGGAAGTGGGGTGGGTTCATTGAGAAGGGGAGGAGCGCTTTCAGTTTTCCTGGAGTCTGTGTACCACTTACAGTGGAGAGCAGATTCAGCCTGCTTTTCCACTGTCTGGTGCCATTGTGGAAAGGGCACTGAATCCATGCAAATCAGGAGACTTGTGTTCTAGTTCTGTCTCTGACCTCTCTGGGTCTCAGGTTCTTATCTGATTCTTGCATCTAGAGCTGGGGCCTTATAGCTTTTCTAGTCCAACCCTCTCATTTTCATAAGAGAACACTGAGGCACAGAGAGGTTAGGGGATTTGCCTAAAGTTACCCAGGTAGTAAGGACCAGAGATGGAATTTGAACCTAGGTTCTCTGATTTCAAATTAACTCTTTTTCTACTTCAAGTAAAATGAGGGAATTGGACTAGGTTTCCCTTGCAATTATAAGATGCTCAGTTCTTTTTGGAAATGTGTGGGTTCCTTTTGTACTATCATTACTATTTTACTTTTATGACTGAGCTAAGTCATATGTTAACTTATTATAGGAATCCTAGCCTTTTTCCTTAAGAAGATTTTTAAAAATTGTATACTGTATTGTTGATGTAGAAATCTCCCAGTGATACAGTCGGTGTCTAAACTTTCTCTTCTGAATTCTAGTCAAAATGTCATTAGAGAGTCATGGCATGTAAGCTGGAGCTTGAAGGAAACTCAATGACGATTCCAGGGCTAGGATACCTGTGGCCCCGAGGCCACATGTGGCCCTCTAGGTCCTCAAATGTGGTCCTTTGACTGAATCCAAACTTCATTGGATTTGTTTTGTGAAGTTTGGATTCAGTCAAAGGGCTGACCTTGAGGACCTAGAGGGCCGCATGTGGTCTCAAGGCCACAGGTGCCCCAGCCCTGATAGATCAACCTTTTCTTTTTACAGCCCAGAGAGGTTAAGTGGCTTGTACAGACTCTTCAGTATCACAATGTCTTGTTTTCTAATTCAGTTTCCATTATCATTTTCTTTCTTAACTGAGACAACTTTGGTTCATACTAATAATAGTTATAGGCTTATTGGCTAATTGCTTTAAATACTCTACCCATTCCTTAGGTTATTATTGCAAGTACATCCAATTTTAAGCAAATTCATTGCATAAAAATTCAAATTTACAAGTCTTATAATTGAAGGGAGTGATTTTTAAATTGTAATTGATGTCCTCAAATACATTTAAAAATGATTCCGTTTAGAAAAAAGTAATTTACGTGATTTATAGAAACACATTTATTGTACAAATCAAGGTTTATCTATATTGCCATCCCTTTACAACTAATGCATAATTGTTTTATTGTTATTGTATATATTGTCAATATCAGTTTTGTAACCATTCTAGAATCCTTCTTTAAAGCTTCAGGTTCAGAGAACAGACTGTTTTGAGCTGTTATTCTCTTGAACTAGTCACTTGAAATGAGTGAGTGAGGAAGATATTTGACTGAGATAAGGTTGTAGCCTCTGTTGTTAAAAAAGAAAGCTTGGAGTCAATGTTTGCCCCAGGGGGTGGGCTAGGTCTGACCCTGACCCCACAAACTGCTCCCTGCCTTGATGACCAGTCTGTCTCTCTCTTCCTTTGCAGGGGTTTCTCCTCCGTGGTGGCTCTTGGGGCCAGCATCATCTGTAACAAGATCCCAGGACTAGCTCCCAGACAGAGGGCAATCTGTCAGAGCCGACCTGACGCTATCATCGTGATCGGAGAAGGGTCTCAAATGGGAATCAACGAGTGTCAGTTTCAGTTCCGAAATGGTCGTTGGAACTGCTCAGCCCTGGGAGAGCGGACGGTCTTTGGGAAAGAGCTGAAAGTGGGTATGTTACCTCTTCCTTGTTTACTGCAGAGCTAGAAAGAATCTCAGGGCCACAAAACAGTGGCCTTATTTATTTGTGGACTACTGATTACCTTGTAAGCTCCCTTTACCTTATCCATTCCATCTGCTTACTTCATACCCTGTAGAAATGCAATTTTGAAAATTTGTTCTTCACTTGTTTCAGTCTTGTCTGACTCATCATGATCCCATTTGGGGTTTTCTTGGCAAAGATACTGGTTTGCCATTTCCTTCTTTGGCTCATTTTACAGATGAGGAAACTGAGGAAACAGGGTTAAATGACTTGCCCAGGGTCACACAGCTAGTAAGTACCTGAGGCCAGATTTGAACTCAGAGAGATGAGTCTTCCTGACTCCAGGCCTGAACTCCATCTACTTTTTCACCAAGATGCCCTTATTTTTGAAAATACTACCCTTCTTTAAAGGGGTCCTAGATTCACCTGTCTCCCACCCTTTAATGGAGAGAACTCCATCTCTCTCTCTCTGTCTCTGTCTCTGTCTCTCTGTCTCTCTCTGTCTCTCTCCTACACACACACCACACACACACACACACACACGCACACACTGTTCAGATATTTGTTTCTTCGGCAATCAATGAAAACTAGGAGATAAAGTAATACACAGTTAATGCCAATATTTGTCCAAATGCCAGACTTAGAGAAGTAACCAGTCCATGTGGATTTAATGTGGCCTCTTCTCTTTGGCTAAGCCGAGGGAGGCAGAGAGTTGTTGTATGATTTCGATCCCAAACCCCTGTCAAGAAGGAGGTAGTATTTTTTCTTTTGGCCCTAGTTATCCAGATGGACGGCTTATGATAATCATATACCACAGTTTCTTAAATAACCACTGATAAACCGCACTTTACTTGGGATATCACCTAATACCTCCAAAATTCCTTTCACCCCTCTTATCTTACTGGATCCTCACAACCACCTTAGACAGGGCAGGGATTATTATTCATCTTACAGATGGGGAAACTGAGATTCTGAGAAGTTAAGGAACCTGTAGCCAAGATCAAACAGTTAGTAGCAGTGCTGGAATTAAAAGTTTCTTTTACTCTATTACTCTCCCACCTGACACTTCAGGGTCTCTTGTTGCATTTTTTCTATTTCTCTTTTTTTGTGGAAGTTGACGGACTGCTTGGAGGAGTTATTGTTTGTTCTTGTATCAGAGACCATGATTTCTGGAGCAGAAATACTCTCAGGACAAAGGGGAAAACCATCAGAGTTGAGAATAATATTAGAAATATGGCATTCAAGTGGTTATTGTCAATGATGATAATCACCTTGGTGACTGTACTGTCTTGAACTCCTAAGCTTCTTGTCTCTGTGGCCCCACATAGAAAATCTTTCCTCAGGGTCACTTCCTGGAGGAAAGACAAACATGAGACCCATGGCCCTTGGGCATCAAATAGAGCAGCCCCCTTGGAAAGTTGTGGGGAGTTTACACATGAAGAAAGGAAGGACTCTCACTGTGATCACATTGCCTTTTTATGCTAGAGAGAATTCCTAACTCTTAGTAGTGGTGATAGTGCAACATATCTCACTTGGCTACAACAGAATCACACTGGCAATCTGCATTTTGCCCGTGGTCTCCTGCCCCTGACATCCTTAATTAAATATCATCCAGTTAGTCACTTCTCTGGCTTGAGATGGATTCTAGGTTTCATTCCTCGGAATCAGTCCTTGCTGGTTGCTTCTACTTTGACCTTCCTTTAGTGGGGTCAGATAGCCTCGGGGGCCTACCCCTTGGTGTTTGGAGGAGGATGAAGAGGAGTGCTTCTTGCCTCATCAGAGAGGTCTTCTTGGATAAGGAGTGAGATTGAGAGGTAAGGAGTAGAGGATGTGGCCATTGTGAAATGGAAGCCTGTTGGAGGTAAAGCAGCTCAGTAGAAAGTCACACAGAAAGAGGTGAAAGGAAACAGCAAAGAAGGTGTTAAGAAGCAGATGCAGAGGGCAGGAGAATGGTCTCATGGGGTCATGCAGAGCGGGCTTAGGGAATCGAGGAATCTCTGTTAGAAGGAACTTCAGGGATCAGGCAGCTCAACCCCTGCCTGAAATGTAAATCCTGACTTTGTGACATTCTCAAGGTCATCCAACCACTTTCTTGAACACTGTGAGTGACAGAGAGCTCATTACCCCCAGAAGTGGGGCATTCCATTGTTGAACAGAGCTTCTATCCTACTGTAAATTGAGCTCATTGCTGCAGTTCTGCCCTCCGAGGCTACACAGTCCGGTCTAATTCCTCTTCAAAGGGCAGGTGGATTGTAGAGATGTTTCTGCTAGTACTTTTCCAGGTTAAACACCCCTGATTCCTCCCATTGTTCATGGGAACATGATTTCAGTTCCTTTAGTCATTGTGGTTGCCCTCAGTTGGCTGAGAATGGGTGACTTGTAGCCATCACTGCTGGCTTCCTCTCAGGCACAAGTGCCTCTCTTATACTTTGCTCTCTGTTTTCTCTGCTTCCTTTCTTAATTTTCCCCTTCTTCTTATCCTTCTTCTTTATTCTTCCCTACCTATGCCTTAGGATGACTGATAGTAGAGTCAGTGTGGTGTTGCAGGTAGAGTGCTGGACGTGGAGTCAGGAAGATCTGGGTTCAAATCCTACCTTTTACATTTACTAGCTATGTAACTCTCAGCAAGTCACTTAACCTTTCTAGGCCTCAGTTTTCTCATCTGTAAAATGAAAAAGTTGGATTAGAGGTCTGTTTATAAGGTCCTTTCTAGCTCTGAATCTGTGACCCTATGAGCATGTGGTCCCTGATACAATGTAAGTTCTTTGAGGGCAGGGATTGTTTCATTTTTTTTTCTAGTCTTTGCATCTTAGGCACCTCACCTACTGTATCTGGCACATAGAAAGCACTTAATAAATGATTGTTGATTGACTGTTTGAAGTCTCGTGTAGCTCTAGAAGCTATGATATGTTATCCTGCATTCTCTAACAGGAAAGCGTCTATGAGAGAATCAGCCTTGATCAGAAAGAGAACTTAAGAAAGGACTTAATCTTGGAAATAGGATCAGAAGATCATAGATTTTTGAGCTGGAAGGGACCTTAGAGGTTGTTGAGTCCAATCTCCTCCTTTTACAGAAAAGGAAACTGAGGCCCAGAGCGTATAAAGACCTAGCAAGGTATTATGTATTGAGGCAGACCCTGAACCCAGCTTTTCTTGACTCTAAATCTGGCACCCTTTCCACTATATTATAGTACCTCTCAGGGGGAAAAAATTAGCCAAAGACAATTCCACAACTCAGTTTACTGTTTCCAAGTTAGTGAGATTGTGGAAACGTGGGTTCCTCCAGTGGTGGTGAAGAATGGGGCTGAAGAACAAGAAGACAAGGGGAAGAAAGCTGTTTTCCTTCTGCCATGTAGTCTGTAACTCAACGTGAGACACAAAATCCCACGAGGAGATATCTTAGTGAGGGGTGAAGGCTGGACTGGGCAAAGGAAGCAGTCTGAAACTTAGAGACTGATACGAGGTAGTCAGTCGGAGAAACTCTCCCCATGGAGGGAAAAGGTCAGTGAGTGGTCTATGCTAGGGCTAGGCGAGGGGGTGAAGCAATTATTGGACAGGGAACCAAAGCTAAGGGTGAAGGAGCCTTTGAAAGAGATGCTAAGGAAGCTGTCAAGGAGGCTGGCAGAATTCTTGGAGAAAATAAGTCAATATATTCTATGAAAAGCTAACAACTGCTAGCTATGTCAATAGGGGTAGTAGGAGCCAGCCTGAGTTTACTAAGAATAAGCCATGCCTAAATGAATTCACGTCTTGTAATCTGGCCTCTGGCTCTAGCACTGAAGAGGTAGTGTGGTATAGTAGAAAGAGTACTGTTGAAGGATCTGGGTTCAAATAATAGTTTTGATACTTTTTCATCTGTGTCATCTTGACCAAGTAACTTAATCTCTCTAGATCTCAGTTTCTTCACCTGTAAAAATGAGGGGAGTGTATTAGTGGGCCTCTGAGGTCCATTCTGGCTCGAAATCTGTGGTTCTATGATCCTAAGATCACTTCTTTGAGACAGTTCTCTTCATGCCGCTGTCTAGCTATGTACCCTTGGGCAAGTTGCTTAACTACTCTCAGCCTTAGTCTTCTTATCTTTAAAATGGGGATAATAATAGCACTTTCCTCACAGGACTGTGTGAGGATCAAGAGGGATAACATATGTAAAACTCTTTGCAAACCTCAAAGTGATACATAAAAATGAGCTGTTAATAATTGCTAAATCTTATTTGGCCTTTTCTCATCTGTCTTGACCTGTTTGCAGGTTGGGCACTTTTGCTAACTCCTCCCTCATAGATAGTCTTCTCTTCTGGCTTTCTTGACACTGTTCTCCAATATTCTCCCTGTCTGCCCACTTGGCCTCCTTTGTTAGATAATCATGCATGATCTGCTCCCCAATGAAAGGTGTGACCTAGGGTTCTGCCCTGGGCTCACCTGAGGTTCAGATGCCCCCCACTCCAAGACACCTTTTATCATCTTCCTACTTGTAAATAATTGCCCCTTCTTCAGATGTTATGTATTTATTGATTTACACATCATATTCCCCCCCCCAGGGGAATGTAAGCATCTTGAGGGCAGGGGCTGTTTTTTTAGTTCCTAGCATCTAGGACTGTACCTTGTGATTAGTATATGTTTAACAAATGCCCATTGGATTGAATTGACTTTATTGGTAGGTTTACTAGATCAGGGCAATGCTCTAGATGTAGTTACTCTGGGTTTTCAGCAAAGCATTTGATAGAATCTCTCAGTCGGTTCCTGTGGACTAGATAGAAAGATGTCAGCTGGCTGATAGGAGACAACTAGGTAGCATGGTGGATTGGAGTCAGGAAGACCTGAGCAAAATACATTTCCATTTTAGCCATACTGCCAAAAAAAAAAGGTGAGAAAATTATACTTCATTTTGTACTCAGGGTTCAACAGTTCTCTCTGTGGAGGTGAATAGCATTTTTTCATCATGAGTGTGTCTTGGGTCATTGTATTCAAGTCTT